AAGCTCAGGAGCACCAAGGACCCCTCATTTCAAACCTGAGAGAAATATTCTCCTTTATTTGTATTGTTAGTCACCTATATCCTAGTTGTAAAACAAGACCATTCCCACTACAAATACATGTATTTCTTTGCCTGCTCACCTTAAAGATGCATCTGACTGTCTCATTCCATCTGGGGTTACAGCTTAAAATGAACCAAAGCTGCTCAGCTCACTAGCAATTCCCTCTTTGTACTGTACCTCATCAGCTGGACAATAAGAAAAGGCAGCTTGGATAAGCAATCTTTTAATGTTAAGCTGTTCAGAGTATTCTCTGAACATCTGTTCCTATCTACATCAAACCTGCTTGTTGGGACTGACGTTAGAAACCAAATCGACAGATAAACCAAACTATATTGTATCACTTTCCAAGAATAGAATACAGTAGGTAAAAAGGAAGCATTTTAGATGCTAGTTTTGCAAAAAAAAAAAACCTTGGAAAGAAGTTCCTCTTCAGTCCCAAATTGGCAAATCTACACTGCTGCAGGTTGAAGATAAGCAATGTTTCCATATTAGGGCAAATAATAGTTGCTCTAGATTAAGAACTAGATTTTCTTGCTTGTATTTCATTCTGGAAGAGAAATTGGAAAACATTACTTGGATTTCAAATTCTGTGAAACACTAGCATTATGGCAGCTTTATGAAATCTCCATTCTTTTGTTTTATACTCTGTTCCATATATTATATGGTTTACTTTTGCAAAGTAATAAAAATAATAGCTATTGCAACATACCAGCTGTCTCAGAAGTGCCATAGCATCATTGTCTTCTCAGTAGCAACTTACAATTTTGGTGCAGTTCAAATGTTAATGAAATAACTGCTGAAATCTCTTTAGATAATTTAGTAAATTCCTAACTTCTTGACAATTCTCTGCACATTTAACTGGTGCTTTGGATTCTGTCCATGAGATTACACAGCTGCTTTTTAGGGCTAGGAATTTATTATGTGTAGGTTACTGAATCCTCTTAGTAACCATCCTGTTAGGCTGGCAATTCTTTGGTCAGCATGATAATGTAGATTTAGTTAATTCCATGGCCCTGGGCAATCTTATCACAATGGGCCTAGCATGGTTGTACAAGCATTTGCATCTAAGGTTTACTAATGATATATAGGCTCTGTGCAGTACTGCATCTTGGTTCTCTCCGAGGTAAATTATTATTTTTGCATGATTCAGATTTATTCCACAATCAGTTTTACAAAAATGGCTAAGCTGACTGCTTTGATTAAAAACAAAAACACAATTACTTTTGTTTCTACTTGGAAGCTACTTCTAGACTTTGTGCTTGAAGTGGAAAAAAATGAAACTTTGATTTTTGGTTTTACCAATTAGATAGGTTTGTTGGTATAGAATTGGCTAGTTTATACTAATAAGTAAAAGTAAAAGGTTGAGGTTTGATGTTATTATCTTATTCTATTGCACCACAGGGAGTTGGAAGTCAATGACTTTTCTTTCTTTTTCCCTTTTCCTACACCCTTTACTTCCCCTTTCTCTCCCCTATCTTTCCTACTATTTTCTTTTGTATTTTTGTATTATATGATTAATAAATAAATAAACAAAAAGGATTACATTCAGAAATAGTTTTATGGATTTGGCTGAAATAGAGAGGTAGTTCATTAGAATAAAAACTATCTTCCTTGGGATGAAATTATCATTAATGATAACTTCTCATTTGGTTTATGTAAAAGCTGAAACAAGCAGATGGTTAACTTGCAAACACTATTAGTAAAAGTTACTATAATGTCCCTGCACCATTTCAGAATTTATAAGGCTTTCTGCCCTGTCCCATCATGATCATTAGATAGATAAAATATTAAAATTATGGCACTCTGTTTCCTATTGTTTTATTGTAACTACAATTTTTATCATGTCATCATGTATACAATGTTATCATGCGTACACAAGTTTCATGATAAAATACATTAAAACTATCCCAAAACACAATAGTTTGAATTTTGTGGATTACGGAGTTTCGGTTTTTCAATGGTAAATATTCAATGATTTATTTATTAAACAGTTTATATTCATCTCCAAAATGACTATTTTCAAAATGGGTTTGCCACACCCAAAATGCAATTTATAAAAAATAATGGAAGAATATCAAAAGTAAAAACTGGAAAGATCGACATTTTAAGAAGATGCATAAAACCATTTTTTTTTAAAGCAGGGAGTAAGAACATTAGAAATCCTAGGAAAATAGTACAAGAGTGGCTATAGAATAGTTGTGGAAATCACACTGCACCTCCTCGAAGCTACTTTCCTTTTTACCAGCAGTCCTGGTGGAAATGTTGCATGCATAAAAGAATTTGGGAAGGGAGGGGGAGAAGCTTCAAAGCAGCCGCTGCATCTGCTTTGTGACTTTGAGAAGTGGATCTACAGGAATGGATCATCAACTGATTTGCACAGCTTAGTTGGCAGCCACGGTCATAATAATAGAGTTGGTGTCAAGCAAATCTCAGAGGATAAGCCATAGTAAAGGCCCTATTTTGAAACTCAACGTTTACAAGCTCCCTATCACAAATCTCCATAGATCTTTTTCAGAAATTATTAAGTGCTTAAACATTAATTGGTAGGGATGCTAAGTGCTGTGTAAGGGGCATGGATTTCTAAAACTTCTGTCCAAAAAAAATAATAATAATAATCCAGGGTAGCTTCATTTTTGCTCTTCTTCAGCTATTTTTATTACTATTTAGGCAAGGCATTTCATCTTCACTCTTTTATCAAAGAAAACTTTAACTAACTGGTAAGTATTATTTATTTCTCTTTAATATATATTATCAGTTTTGCTTCTTTTAGCTATACACTTAATACTTTTATTTGGCATTTTATTGACACTTGTATTTATAATGAAAAGATGATACATAAATTCATTAAGTTGTTAATTATATTGTATAAATATACAGTATAATGTGAAATCCTGTAAACACTTTTGTGGGAATAAATCTCAAGGTAGTTTAAGAGCCTTATTTCTTAAGTAAACAGGTGTAAGACTTTCATTCCATTCAAGTTCGCTGAGATTGCATTTAAAAGGATTATTTTCCTTCCTTCCTTCCTTCCTTCTTTCCTTCCTTCCTTCCAATTTTCAGTTATGGGAATATATTGTAGCCAGTGCATAAGGCACTGATGTCCTTATCATCACCATTAAAAATAAATGAAAGGAAACAGTAAAGCAAGGATATCTAATGTCTTTGATGAGTACTGCTAAGTAGATTTCTTCTTTATACACATATACATTCCTACTTGTCATGGGTAGCACATTCAAAGGAGCCTTAATTATATACAGATGATTATAGGAGGTTGTCTAATATTTCATGGTGAATAGCTTAGGAGGCTTTTATAAGAAAAGAATGTAGAAATGAAGTATCTTCACAGTAAAGCATTTGAAATGTAAAGTCTTTTCTCTGCTTTAATAAAAATGTATAATCTGTCATCAACAAAGCATTTTTTACATTCTGAAACAGTTCATTTCACTGGATTTTAAGTACGTAACGTTGTGTGATGACATCATAATGTATATATGAATGAGAGCCAATGGATATAATGATTAAGTTATTGAAGTGAGAATGGAAAAGCCCAGGTTCTAATCATCCCTCAAGCGTAAAAGTCAGTTTCTAAATTTTAAAGTTCGGCCTGCATGATAGATTATAGTCCCTAATTTTAAGTTAAAAGATAATCCTGCAGGGATTTATTTATTTTATTTATTTTGGCTTATGCAAACTGATAAGCACACACACAAACACAATAAACAATAGGCAGGGGAATCATTTTTATACAGCAATTTTATTAAATATTACAATTCAAAAATATAAACTAATACAAAATAAAAAATATATAAAAAGGAAAGAAGCAAAGAAAGAAAAGAAACATGATGACTTTCCTCTTAATCAATTTTAGTTAATTTATCACCATTTCATAAAATATAAAAAGTGATCTGTAATAAATAAAGATTTTAAGGATTTGTTTATAGAAAAACAATTCCGGATAGAACAGTTATCTGCTCTATCCATATTTGTTTATCTATAAATAAATCCTTAAAAACTTTATTAATTTTATCAACCACCCAGAGTCACTTTTCAGAGTGAGGTAGAAGCATATAAATCTAATAAACAAACAAACAAACAACTAAAACTGTATTATTCAGTCCTGATCAGCAAAAGTCTATTGAGAGTTATGTATTTTATCCTTTATCAAGGAAACCAAATTTATATTCCTTGCTTTTATTTTTAACAGTCTTGGTCTTCAATCTTTTCCAAAATTGCCCCAAAATTTGGTTTCTTTTTATTTTTTCTTTGTCCCTTCTCACAAAATTATTCAACATTTTAAAAAATCTCTTTTGTAAATCCAATATAGGAAAAAATTATCTGGATTGGTCTTTTGGTTTATTTGTTTATTCTCTTTAATTATTAAAACATCATTTGTACATCCATCATGGCAACTTTTTCCATATCATTCTTGTAGCTTGTCACATTTAAATCCACTTTCAAATCAGCTCAATCTTGTCCAGTAAAACCTGTTCCTCTTCAATAACTTCTTTTAAACCAATCTTTCTATAATGGCAGATACTCTTAAAATTAACTTTTGAGTCCATTGTTTATAAGTATCCTTTAATACAGGCTTTGCTGGCTGGGGAATTCTGGGAGTTGAAGTCCACTTAGCTTAAAGTTGCCAAGGTTGGAGACCCCTGTTTCAATATATTCAATGTTAAAATATTTTGCTCCATTCTATAAGTAAAATTTAAATGATCGGCTCCTTTTTAGTTTATTCTGGTTCCCTCTAGTGACAAGTCTTCAAAGTCCTACTATTATATATTATTTTTAAGAATTCAAAACAACAATATTTTCCAATGAGAAAAAAACCTTACAATTAATTTCAAAATCTTATTTCAAATTCATCTGGATCCTTAGTCTGTATGTAACTTTTCACAATCAGTGTTCTAAACACTCTTTTCTTGTTTACTCAGAAAAAATTGTTATATCCTTAAACTTATATTTAAAACTTCTTTCACTAAAGAGTGAAGCAAATTCATCTATGATCAGTATAATAGCTTACTTCCAGAAGCTGTAGGTACTCCATCACTGGAAGTTTTCAAAGGAAAAAAAAGACGTGACAGTCATTTGTCTGGAATGATATAGGGTTTTCCTACTTGAATAGTGGGTTAGACCAGATGATCTCCAAGGTCCCTTCCAACCCTATTATTCTATGTTTCTAATAGCTAAAGAGCATTTAACAAGTAATTTCCAAAAATCATTAGCAAAGGAACTATGCAAACATTTCCTTAAAAACACTGACCCTGGTTTCAGCAATATAGCTATTTCTTCATCTCCCAGATCACTAATTTCTTCAGAGAAAGCTGTCATGTGGAGCAATTGTCTGAGGTACTTGTGGGCATTCCCAATCATCTCCTTGTCCAGAGAGGAATTGCAAAGAGTCAGTCCATTCACCAGCTCTTCATTTCCCAGTTATCAGTTTAGTTTTCCATGAAGCTCTTTTTAGATCACCATTTCTTCCCCGAAAGTCAAGGGCAAAGAAAATTTTGACATAGAAATAACATTTCTGTAACATTTAAACAGATATTTTTTTAAAAAACAAACAAACATAAGTTCTATTCATAAAAGTATATAACAAGGTTAAAAGTACATTGAAAAGAGATTACACTTCTTGAACGCTGAAATTCTAAGCACACTTTTTGGAAATCAGCCTATCTGAGCTACCAATGAAAAATGCATAACATTTCAAGAGAAACCAATGAACTAATACCAATTGTTATTTGTTTACTTTTGACTCTATATAATGAGCTATTTTCAATGTCATTAAATCATTGGGCAACATACCAAATTGCTTGGAATGTGCATTCAGAATATACATCGGAAGTTGGCATTATCTGGCCTCAGTTTTCACAGTTTAACTGCTGTTGCTTTTGCTATTGTTATCTGTGAAACAACAAAAAATATATTTTTTTCACCTAGGTAGCAATGCAGATTTGACTTATGTTGTAAGGCTACTGGATCTAAGCTGCAAAAATCTTCACTACTATATGAAGCAATAAGGTTTTTTTCTGTATCCTGACCAAAATATAGAGCAATCATCATGATTCAGAAAGACTACATAGACTTCACTACAACTTTGGTGTTCTTATATAGCATTTAAATAATTAAAGCAAAGCAAAACACATTTATTAATATTACCTGGTATCAAGTACTGTGCATCCTGATTTAGAATGCAGGTTTGCTAATGTAATCTCAGTTGCTTCTTCTTTGGGTCTTATTTGGTTTGCAAACCTAGATGATTATATAGTACATGCAATCGTTTAAATCATTTCACAACAACAACCAAGGAAGTTAAATACACAATACATTATTCATGTCTCAGTTCTCATAACTCAACTGAGAGTGAAGGCTTTTTTTTTGCTTTTGTAATCATTTCCATATTTCTATTTTTAAGGGCAAAGAAATAATCAATATGGTTTAAGCAAAAATGAAAAGACCTGCAGGGAAGTCAGAGACCAAAAATGAACAACTAGGTCCTCTAATCAAAGCAAGAGTAACTAATCAAATCAATAATTTTCTCATAACTTAAAGAATTCCCTTTAATTTAGAATTAGTGAGCCTTCAAGTATGGGTTGATTTCTAGGTGAGTACATCTGTGAAATATAGTATTACCTTTTGTAACCTTGATGTCTCTGGAAAATATTATTGAGTCCAGCAGGAAGGGATGCATTGCAGGGCCTGTCTGCTAAAGAGTTCTATGATCTGACGGAACCCAGACGGTGTGCTTTTTTTTCAATGTCTCCTGGCCTTGGACTATTATCTTTCCGCAAGTTAGGATAGTTCCTCACTGTTACCTTTCAGAAAGCCCTAAAACCATAGCTTTCCCAGAAGTCTTGGGGAATCCTATGGGAACCCTGTGCAGTAGATATATTTGTGTTTAAATGAATGTTCTTGTCCTGCAATCTTGCTTTTTATATATATTTTACATTTTTTAAAACTATTACATTGTTTTAATTATTGGTTGCACTCTGTGCATATTCCTGTTCAGTGAGATGGGCATGCATATAAACCCATTAGATAAATAAATAGTTTTTGTTATTAGAAGGCATTCTGTATTGTTTTGAAATCCAACCAAAGATTCAGAAGACTGTACAATATTGCAACATTGCATTTGGTGCTAATATTTTAGCATGAAGCTGAAAAGTATGATAACTGTAGCAACAAATATCCTTTTTTCCCAAAAATACATAGTTTAGTTTACTTTATTGTTCTTGCACCTCGTACAACAAAATGAAATACCATCTTCAGTGTACATTATGACTATGAAAATAAACACAAACACACATCCTTCACATTCTATACATTGCACTGAAAACCCCTGATACTGCATTAATATTGCACTATACAGTAGAATTCAATAGAGTTACTCCCTTGGGATAGAAGCTGCTTTTCAACCTATTTGTCCTATAAATGAAAAGTTTTACTTTTTGCTATAAAATTATCATTGTTGGGGTGAATTTCTATGGCAAAAATGAAGGGGTTAAATATAAAATTCTTCAAGATATAAATAAAAAAGGCAGAATAGGATTGTAGGATTTCAAATTGCTTTTTGCTTTTGATAAAGTAATGGATATTGCTTAGAAAAAAAAGCATGTTAGAATTAGAAGAACATTACTTGAAGTTTGGTTGGCATGGCTTTTTATGATAGAGTTAAAGTTAATATAATTTTTTAAAATAATTATGCGAGATGTACCATATTAATAATATATAGTAAATTTAGCCCAGCCTAGGCCTAAAAGTATCTATGTCACCTTTGAAATTCAGCTGCCACATTTTTTTTAAGAGAGTTGGAGGAGTTGAAAAGTTCAAGGTTATTCTGTATGACGGTTATTCTGTATACGCCAGGGGTCCTTGTGTATCTGATGACATCCTTATCTTCAGTGAAACCATGGAAGAACATATTCAATTGGTCTGACAGGTTCTAGAAAAACTTTGAGGTATGGACTGATCACAAGAATCTCGAGGCTCTAAAGACCCCTAGGAGATTATCGCCCAAACAAGCCCACTGGGCCCAATATTTCAAGTGATTCAATTTCAACATTGAATATATCCCCGGAGGGAAAAATGTACTGGCAGATGCTCTGTCCAGAAAATCTCAGTTTGACAGCCACCGAGAGGAAATAGTACAAGCCTTAATTTCAGAAGCTCAATCAGCAGGCCAAGTGACCACTCGAGTCCAAGCCAACCGCAACCCCAAACACCTGGAAGATAAGCTGACTGTAGAATTGAAAACAGCCCTATTGACTGATTGTTGGTTCCTGGACCATCAAACCTAGTTGACAATGAATGATGGACTAGCTTGGAAAGGAACTAAGCTTTATGTACCCACAACCCTAAGATTACTGGTACTAAAGCGTAGCCATGACTCTTGGCTGGGAGCCCACTTCGGATTCCTAAAAACCCTACATTTACTGAGAAGACAGTTCTGGTGGCCAAAAAATGAAACCTGATATCGAGGACTATGTAAAAAGTTGCTCATTTGTGCCACAATGAAACACCGAACTGGAAAAACCCCTGGCCTCTTGCAACAAGTCACTGAACCAACCCAACCTTGGGAAGAGATCACAATGGACTTTATTGTTGAATTACCTAAGAGTGAAGGGAATATGATCATTTGGACTATATTTGACTTATTCTCTAAACAGGCCCATTTTATAGCCTGCAAAGGACTTCCATCTGCAAAAAAACTTGCAAAGCTGTTCGTGAAACATATCTATAGACTACATAGAGTACCTCAAAGAATAATATCAGACAGAGGGGTACAATTTACCACAAAATTTTGGAGGGAATTTCTGAAATCCATTGGCTCCTCTCAAGGGTTATCCTCAGCTTTCCATCCTGCTTGTAACGGAGCAGCAGAGAGGGCTAACGCCATGATTGAACAACACATTAGATGCTATGTAAATTATCAACAAGAAAATTGGGCTGAACTATTACCTTTTGCAGAGGTTGCTTACAATAATGCAGTACATAGCAGCACAGGATTGACTCCATTCCAAATCAACACTGGAATGGATTTTGTCCCAATGCCAGAGTTACCTAGACAACCTCCCTCATCCATGTCCCTAACAGAATGGATGAACTCATTAAAGAAAGGATGGGAAGATACAAAAAAAGTTTGACCAAAGCTGTAAAAAGTTATTTAAAAAAACCAGGCGGATAAGCATAGATCCCTTCAACCGCCTTTTAAAGTAGGAGACAAAGTATATTTGTCAACCAAGTATCTTAGGTTGAAACTACCCAGTAAGAAGCTGGGTCCAAAATTCTTGGGTCCATTCCCAATTTCAAAGATAATCAATCCGGTCACTGTCCAATTAAGTCTTCCTCGAATATTGGGGAAAATTCATCCAGTATTCCATTGTAGTTTACTAAAACCAGCTACTACATCAATGATAACTGCCAATTGCTCCCCCTAAACCATTAATGGTACAGGGGGAAACACATTATGAGATTCAAAAAATTCTCAATTCTAGATTACACCATGGCCAATTGCATTATTTGGTCTTATGGAAAGGGTACCCCCTCTCAGATGCTAGTTGGATAAAGAATTTGGATGTTCATGCTGATCAATTGGTTAACCATAAGGATTTTCCACAGAGGGGGTTAAGGACAATGTGTTAACCCCTGTATCTGTTTTATTTCTTTTAGGAGGAGTTTTCAAGGGGGGACACCTGTCAGCTTTGAAATTCAGCTGCCACATTTTTTTTAAGAGAGTTGGAGGAGTTGAAAAGTTCAAGGTTATTCTGTATGGCATATTAGGAAATTCCAGTGGCAGTTAATTGGTTCTCATGATTTATGAAGTGTAGAGTGGGAGGAGAGAAGGGAGGAGAGAAGGTGGATTCTGTGTAACACGTGAAAAATTTTCACTTTGGGAAATTGCCTTTGACACGCCAGATCTGTTTCTAAATAAATCAATTGGAGAGAAAATGTCTCAGAGTGATTGATATCATGGATATTTTCTGGATGCCTTACAAACTATATTGGTCTCAGCACAAGAAGCATTTTATAGAAAAGGAACAGCATGCAAAGAGAAATGATTAACATATCAAGATTTGTTAGGATGGACAATGAAGAATTGAAGATGAAGTCTTCAAAAAGTATCTTGACTTAAAAGGTAACTTGAACTTAACAATCTAAGCTATATACCCTTGATAGCGAACCTGTGGCACCCAGAGCCATTTGTGCCAGCATGCAAGCTGCAGGCAAACTTACCTCACTGGCCATGAGCAAACCTCACAGCTGATTTTTTGACAGTTTGAAGCCTTTTTCGGCCTCCCAAAGGCTTGAGGAAGGCTTCTGCAGGCTTTGCAGGCTCAAAACTAGCCCCGTTTAGTCACTTCCTGTTTTTCTGAAAATACCGGAAGTGACAAAACAGGGCTAGTTTTCATCCTGCAAAGCCTGCACAAGCCTTTGGGAGGCCGAAAAAGGCCTCAAACCGGCCTCAAACATCAGCTGTGAGGCACAGTGCAGGTCAGGGGGAAGCATGTGTAGGGGGCGTGGGGGTGCACATTGCCTTCTGGATGCTGGCACGTGACTACAAGTGTGCAAGCACATGCACAATTTTTGGCACAGGAGCCCAAAAAGGTTAGCCACCACTGCTATATAAAATTGATAAACAAGTAATTACAAAAAATGTTTAACTTTTTTAAAACATAAAAACAAATTAAAATTGCATGATAAAATGGGCTAAGAATTTCAGTTGTAACATATAGATAGGTCAATGGAAGAGTAAAAGAGTAAAAGGTTAAAATTCACATTGCATGATAATTTAAGAGAATGTTTTTATAAATTGATGTAATCTTATCAGATAACACCAAAGAAATTATTTAAGTAGTATAACGGCACTTCTGGTCAGTGTTGGCCATGTGAAAAATCATGCTAACTTTGAAAAACATGAATAATGATACAAATTATGTTAAGTAAAAATATATTGCTATGCAACCATAACTTTTATTATTGGGATTCAAAAATAATAATTTAAAAAAGACATATGGCAACCTGATTTTATGCACCATGATGAAAAAATACTATAACCACAATGGAGGAATGGATTGTCAAGATGACAGAATTCGAAGAAATGACAAAACTGACAAAAAGAAGAATAAAATTCAGATTGATAAGAATTTACAAAAGACTGAAAACTTTTTTGGACTTTTGTTAAAAGTGGAAAAAAGCAAAATGGTAATATATTTTTAAGAAGGAAGGACAGATAATAACTTTACTTTTAATTGCTTTAAAGATCCAAAGTTGCTTCTTTAATTATTTTTTCTTGAACTACTAGTATCTTTCTCAACTTTTTCTTTTAGCTTTTTCTTTCTCTATTTTTTTCTTAATATATTTTCAGATTTATCTTTTATCTCTCTAAATTTTTTAAATAAAAATTATATAGAAAAAGAGAAATATGTTCAAAAGATGTATTTGTTGCCTGAAAAATACGTATTTTTTTAAAAAGCACTCCTAAAATCAGTGAAAGCAACAGTTGTGGGACTCTGTGTGCACATGTGTATATACATGTACATTCATGGCAATCTTTAAGGTAAAGGGAGAGAGAAAATCAAGTTTCTTTTGTATAAAGCTCAGTTCTTGCAAATAAAACTAAATTTGTTTCCATATATTGACTGCCTGTCCTTCCTTTGTCCTGAGATTGCAAAACTTTTGAAAAAGCGGTGCAAATGTTCCCCTGGCCACAATTAACTACTACTTTTCCATCAGGAAAATGAGTCAAGAGAACTCCCAAGTTGTGCACTGAATCTGAATGGGGAAGTGCAACATTACTCAGACTCAAGAATGAAAACTGTCTGGTTCTCATGGATATGTAAAGAAGCTGAAGAAGCTTCTTGGATGAGAAGTGAAATTTCTTCAAAGAAAACAAGAAAGCCCAGTTACCTCTTGAAAAAGCACCTTTGGGACAACCATGACCTGGATGACTGAGAACCTCTATAGACACCAAGGGCCATAGTTATTCAACTTTGGAAGGATTAAATTTAAGCTGTTTTTCCCACAGCTTCCAGACACAGGGATAGAACATTGGTAGCTTCACTTAGGCAGCCACGAACAGAGTTGTACAAATGAATATCATCAATGTACTGACAATAGTGTATTACATGCAATAGTTCTTAAGAGAAAAGGGTAGAGAATAGCACCAATATTGACTGGAACTAGATCAAGAGGAAGGAGAAGGAGAACCACTGCCACCTACTCTTAACCCTCTTAACTGATTCAGAAGAACACCATGCTGATGGTACTGAAGCCATTAAGAGGACAGGGAGTGGTAAGATAAATGTGCTAGTCCACATCAATCCTGCCACAAGACAATATTCAATCTCAGATTGAAAGCTGATTGTGAAGAATCCACCCTTTGGAGTTGGAGGCCAACCACCTTCTTATCAACTTCACATAGAAAAGGAGAATTAATGACTGGACAAAAATTGTCCAGATCTGTAGGGTCCTGTATTCTTAAAGTGAGGGAGGTTGGACCACTGCATCTTTCAGAGTTGTTGAGGCTGCTTGGAGGTTTATCTGTGCCTTCAAGGTTACCTGAATTCTGTAGCCTGCTATTTTTCTGGAAATCAGTTCATATTCTCACACCATTCATAGGGTGCAAATTTGAGATTAATTGTCTATAGAGATTCTCAGTCACCTAGGTCACACCCTTCAAACATTTGGGACAACCATGACCTGGATGACTGAAAATCTCAATAGATATTTAACCTTGAACTTTAGGATGAACACCCTTTGAATGGTGTGGGAGTATGAATGGATTTTCAGAAAAATTGTAGACTATAAGATTCAGGTGACCCTGAAGGCACAGATAAAAACCCAAATGGCCTCAACGTCTTTCAGAAAGACTGCTAATGACCAGATGATTGCAAGGAATATAAATTTTTTCCATTCTCCACCATTCAGTCAGAACTGAAGAGGCTTCTTTGATGAAAATTGAAACATCTTCAAGCAAAACAAGAAAGTCCAGTTGCCTTTTCAAAGGAAGCACTTTTGGGAAATGGTATTTGATGGTTTCAAATGTGAATTAATATCAAATATTTATTTTAAACACCATAATAAAGAAATTTAAGAAGTTAAAGTAGCAACATTGCATTATTCCAAATAAAAAGAGGAAATAAAATAGACATTATAATTTTGTGTACTTAATTACTGTCCTGGCTACCTACCTGGCAGTAAGTCTCATTTAAGTGAGCAGGAATTATTTCTGAGTAGGTAAGTTTAAGACTCTTCAGTTAAAGGCTTAAAGATGCCCATTAGACCTCCCATTCAGTAAACATATATTAAATATGATTCAAACATTGAATCATTAGAATTCTAATTTGTATGAGCCATATTGCTGTTACATTGCTTAATGTATTGCATGACTTCTTAAGTACAGTGTGTGTCAAACAATCTCATACCGATACATAAAGAGGAAGTATATTTTCCACAGAGAAGGCACTCTGCTATAGCTATTCCAGCACAGATATCTTAAAGTTTACTTTCACACGGATTTTCACTTTTTGACCTGCTCTTGACCTGTTTAACACTGGCAGAGCTATGAGTTTAAGAAGGCCTGGGATCTATTAAAAGAGTAGTAGCTTGACTTTTATTGAGTAGCATGCGGATGGTTTAAAGTAAATGTTATGGTTTGTCACAGGAACCAATTTGGTTACCGTTTGTTCTTCCTGCCCCTGCCTGCTGATATTTTCTCAAGTGGTTTTCATTCGTAAATTCTAAAATGAAATCTGTGTTCTGTTATTTTAAACTTCTGCATCTCTCCTTTGGTGATTCAGTTTTAAACACAAGGTGGTGCATCCAAAGTTTAATCAGAACTGCTCTTTGGCAGAACTTGAACTCAAAGTGAGCTAACTTTGAGGTCATCTCTTTCTGAACACCCAACAAGTCTTGGGAAGGCCTAGTCTAACCTAATTTTTGAAATCCTACACTATCTACAAATCACTGAATGTATCAAGACTCTAATGCAGAGAACTGCAAAACATTTCACGGAGATCAGAAATGGATTAGGTTTACTGGTCCTCTTCTCTAAAGCATTTGGATTTCTGTTTGCTTTGTTTTGTTTCTGTCTTTAACAAGAGACCCCCACAAATTACAGGAATAAAATTTATACCTAGCCAATCTTTGCTCGTTTATTGTTGCTTGCTTATTTCATTATTGAGCAAGGCAGCTTTCCAACTTTCCAACTCTTCCTTATGGCTCTTGTGGCCCTGAAATCTTTTTCTTTCTTTTTTTTTTTTTTTGCAGATTTCCTAGGCCACATAAATTTCTAGTAATTCAGAAAAAATACTGCAGAGGAAACAAAATTTCTGGTGATATTTCTCTTGAATGTCCAAAGTCTATTGCCTGAAGCAGCCAACCCATTCAATTTTTTGGTAGGATCTGGCAAAAATGTCTTTGAGTTTTGTTTTCTTCTCTGTGAATTGTGCCGCCAGCTTTATGACACATGGAGAGGATTGAGAGAAGTTGCAGGGAAAAAGGCATATTATACTTTTTTAAGATTAAGAAGGTGGGTGGATAAGCCACAACCTTACTGGTTACAGTTACAAGGGATTTGTGCAGCATATGGCATGGATTTGTTCTGCAATCAACCCTCTTGCTTGCTGAGTACACCCTAGCTCATCTGCTTGATACCTGCAGAAGCTTTAAGGCTGTGTGTCCTGTTCTCATATAAGTCTATCATCATTAAGTGCTTTCTCTTCTGCCACTTGGGAGTGTGACTAATGTGTCATCCCTTGAATTGAGCTGAGCTGGAATCTTGGGTCCCAGCATTAGGGTGTGGAGTGAATTCTGCCTGTGTCCTAAAACATGAAACTTAACAATGCTCCTAGGTGTGATGAGTAAGTTTGTGTACATTAATAGTCATGCATTAAGAGGGACTCAAAGTGAAAAACAGCATATGATAGCCTCTACTATCAGCTCAGTAGGGAATAGCAAATAATGTGGAACACCCAGCTGAGTTGTTGCATTCATACATTTGAGACATAGCAGAGTAGAGAGTAACAGTGTCTGGTTCATACTGCTAATTGGGCATGCTGCAGATCCCCTAAATTAAAGAATGTCAACTGGCAAAAACTTTTCTGAACTAGCTCCTGCTTTTCAAAAGGCATTAAAATTTTGGTGTTTATCTGCGCTTGGAATATGTTAATGACCCCATTTGGCTTTACTGTTAGTTAGTTATGCTGCTATATGTACTTATTTTTTGTATTTTTCATTGTTTTGTAGTTTTAGAATTGTAAGCCTCCTGAAGCCACCTGGCTGAGATGGCTATAGAAATTGGAATAAATAAATAAATCTACTTGCCCATCAGCATTGGACAGCATTAAACAGAAGTCTGTCCACACTCTTCCTGGTAAAAGAGGGCTCACCTTGCAATAAAATAACACTAATGTTGGCTACATTTCAGGTTAAAAGTAAACCTTAATTTCTCTTGTAAAATTTCTGAAGCATTTACCCAGGATCTATGACATACATTCATGGGAGAACAGGAAGAAAAAAAGTATTCTCTTTCAATAAAGCTCAACTACTGGTGCTTCATCAATATTTCCAGGTACCATGAACTATATATTAAATAAATGGCCCTTTGGGATCCCCATATCAAAACAACTTACCTTATCTAAACATTTAATACAGCAAAGGAATTAAGCAAAATGATTCAGTTGAGATCGGAATATGTGGGACTGTTTGGGGTACATTGTAGGAATGACACTGAAATATAATTTTATCCTATTTTATTTATCTATATATTAAATTATTGTATTTTATTCCAATTTCATTTTAAATTGTATTTTATCCAATTCTATTTTAAATTGTTTTTTTCAGATTTTAGTAATAATTTGTGTCTGGAACTAATCAATAAGGGCTAATCACTAAACTGAACTAAATTAAACTCAACTAAACAATTCAACTCAACTTAACTTCCAGATGGTTTACCACTTCCTTCTCCTAAAGTATTTTTTTTTAACTTTGCAGTCTAGCCCAGGGTCCCGAACCTCTGGGCTGCAGCCCACTAGTGGGCTGTGAGCTTTTTGCAACTGGGCCACAGAAACAATGTGTGAGCACATGTGTATCCCCACTTTCATGAGCAGCAGGCAAGCATATGCCCATGTGCTCTATTTGCATAAACAGCAGGGGCATGTGCATGCTACTTGCACAAATGGAGTTATGCATGCATGGACTTGCCGCCATTTATGCAGAACCATCCCGTTTCCCCACCCCAAGCCAGTCGGCAAAGTTGGAAAGATTGGATATCTCTGATCTAGCTTGTTGCCCTAGTATTCCTTGATAATCTTCCACTGAAGTCATAACCAGGTCAAAATTTGCTTAGGTTTCTGAGATCAACCAATAGAGAAACAATGATCAAATCTGGTTTTCACAGTTTCAGTTTAGAGAAGAAAAGGGGTCTTAATGTCATAGAGCTCAGATGTGTCATGCACAGACCACGCCCACCCCAGCTCCGCAAAGGGCAAAAACATCATAAAATGTCATGTGGCAGAACGTGTCTGAGTTTGACACCCATGTCATAGAGGATGGAAAATATTTTCAATAGTTAAATATTACAAACAAAACAATTTTCTAGTGTCTATAACAGTGGTAGTCAACCTGGTCCCTACTGCCTACTAGTGGGTGTTCCAGGTTTCATGATCGGCGGTAGGGGTTTTATCCCCTACTTTATAAATCACCATTACTGTGGAACCAGTGGGCAGTTGGAGAAAACTTTACTACTAACAGAGATGCAAAAGTGGGCAGTAGGTATAAAAAGATTGACTACCTCTGGTCTATAATATCTGAACAACTTCTATTTAGCCTTATTTCCATAACACAAGTCTGCCTGAACTTTTAGGCCCATGTGCAGAGGTACTGAACAATTCTAAAGCTGTGCAAAATATTTAAATCATACTTCATCTTGATGAAAACTTGAAGTAAGCATCTCCTTCAAAGTTGCTTCACAGAGTTATATGAGGGGATGTGAGACCGTCATGTTGTTTTACCTCTCTGTGTTTCAAAGCTCTCAGTGCTGTCACAAGAGCCGTAGGTATCACTGAAGTTATCCATCCTGAAAGCAATGGCCTGGGCTGAATGAGAAGGCTGAAGAAAACTTTTTCTCATAACACCATCCTGAAGTGCTTTGTTTCAGTGAGGCAGACTAGTAATCCGTTAGCTTCAGTGAAATAAATCTTGTCTCATCCATAGATCAAATTACAGATCTATATCATCTCATGCAAGCATATACAGTTCTCCCAGAGTTTATGTCAGTTTACTTCTTTTGGCCTTCCCTGTGTAAGAAGGCAAGCACCTTACTTATTTGCTGTCTATAATACATGATATTTGTTTATAACATGGCCCAACTACCTGCCTTGTTATTAAACTAAACAATTCTAAACTTTTCAACATTTCAAGTTTTTCTCACTGGGAAAAACTTCCCCATTTGTTTACATTTTTCAATAAAAGATATCATTAGGGTATTCCTCTTGCTAGACTATTTCAACCTAGAGAGCAAGGGAATCTTTAGACTGATCACAAAGTATCACACTAGCAATATACTTCACTATCTCCCACTTAAAGTCCAGAATCATTAGGAGAATTTTAATTCCTGAGAATTAAATAGAAGAACAAAAGCCTGTTTTATATGGTAAGTTTGTCTCTCTGTCTCTCTCTCTGTCTCTCTCTGTCTCTCTCTCTTTCTCTCATTGTACAAAAAAATTCATCAAAGCTTTAAATTCCTTTCACCTAATTACATAAATGTTTTTTTCTAACATCAGGGTGCCTCCTTGTGAAAATTGGTAACAAAATTGTTTCTGAAGGCTAGGAAATGGTAATGTTCTCTTCTACAATAGTCTAAAGAAAAGAAATGCACACTAATATATCTTCTCCTTGGATGTAGCTGAAGCTTAGAAAGCTAGAGAAGTTATCTAATCACATGGACACAACCTTACAGTGAACAATAGGATATTTTCATATAACTTCACATTCTACCTGTAAGAAATTCATCTATATTTTCTTCTCCTTTGAAAGAAATTTCAAAAGCAGATTGTTTATTTTCACTCTGAATGAGAGCTATTAAGAAAAATATTGAAGGCATTTTTTCCTGGATAAGACCAAAAATGCGATAATATGTTATTTTTAACAAAATGGACATGCTCTTAGT